CAGCATGGAGGCTTCTGACTGAGAGTAGACTTGGTTCTTCAAAAATTCCAACCACGCAGCATTGTTGTTCATTTATAATAATAATAATAATAATAATAATGCATTTTATTTGTTAGCACCTTTCAAGACACCCAAGGACACTTCACAACATAAAAACACAAAATAAAGCACAAAATAAAACAATACAAAATGGCTATAAAAACACTAAACTAAGAAGAAAATGAGAAAAAATGAAAGTGAGAAGGCTAACTTGAACAGATGAGTTGTGATCTGAAGGTTTGAAGGGAGTCGATCTTACAGATGTCTGGGGGAAGAGCGTTCCAGAGTTGGGGGGCAGAGTGAGAAAAGGCTCTGTGTCCCACGGTGCTGAGGAGGACGAGAGGCTCGTTGAGGTGGATGGAAGAGGAAGAATGAAGGGAGCGTGAATGGGTGATAATGTGCAGGAGATGGGACAGATAGGGAGGGGCGAGGTTATGGACGGCCTTGAATGTGTACAACAGGATTTTAAATTGAATTCTGAAAGTGACTGGAAGCCAGTGAAGTTGCTGTAAAACTGGGGTGATGTGGTGAAATGAGGGGGTTTTGGTAACGATGCTGGCAGCTGGTGAAGATTCTCAGTCATCCAGGACATGATAAATTTAAAAAATGTTCAATGCAAAAACAACTGGACTTTATTTGTAACAGAAGACGTTTTGATTACAAATAAAGTCCAGTTGTTTTTGTATTGCACGTTTTTTGAATGATGCAGGCAGCAGAATTTTGAACCATTTGAAGTTTACGGAGTAATTTTTGCGGCAGGCGAAATAGGAGAGAGTTGCAATAATCAATTCGAGAAATGACCAAGCTATGAACCAGGATGGAAGCAGAGTGCGGGGAGCGGGATGGACGGAGACGGTTGATGTTTGGAAGGTGGAAATATGCAGACCAGGTGATATTATTAATGTGAGAGTGAACAGACAGAGTGCTGTCAAGAATGACACCCAGACTCTTAACGTGAGGGGAGGGAGAAACCATGGAGCTGTCAATGGTGAGGGAAAAACTGTTGATTTTAGATATGGTGGATGTAGTGCCGATGAGTAGAAACTCTGTTTTTATCACTGTTTAATTTAAGGAAGTTAGATGTAAACCAGGATTTAATTTCAGCTAAGCAGGAAGTGAGGGAGGAAGGAGGAAGTGAAGAATTAGGTGCAGTAGATAAGAAGAGCTGGGTGTCGTCAGCAAAACAATGGAAGTGAATGTTAAATTTACGGAAAATATTGCCAAGGGGGAGAAGGTAGATGATGAAAAGAAGGGGCCCCAGGACAGAGCCTTGGGGCACACCTGAAGTGACGGGGGAGGAGTGAGATCTGAATGATTTAAGTTGGGTGAACTGAGTGCAGCCAGAGAGATATGACTGAAACCAAGCGAGGGATGTATGGGTGATGCCAATGGATGAAAGTCTGTGGAGGAGGATGTTGTGGGAGATGGTATCAAACGCTGCTCTGAGATCGAGGAGGATGAGGAGAAAAAGTAAATCAGAATCTGCTGCCCTGAGAAGAGTGTTAGTGATTCTAAGGAGAGCAGATTCTGTGCTGTGTCCGGGGAGGAAACCAGACTGGAACTGTTCGTATAGACTGTTTTTGGTTAAATGGAGGTGGAGTTGAGAAGCAACTGTTTTTTCCAGAATTTTAGAGATGAATGGAAGGTTAAGTTAAGGGTGAAGATTACTGAAAATATTTGGAACCAATCCAGGCTTCTTAAGGATCAGAGTGACAGCTGCAGTTTTGAAAATAGTTGGGACAGTTCCTGAAGAAAGAGAAGAGTGAATAATGGCAGAAATGATAGGGAGAAGTGAAAAAAGGCAAGATTTTACAAGCACAAGCAAGTTGGGAGAGGATCCAGAGAACAAGTAGAGGGCTTAGATTTCAGAATGAGTTTGGCTATTTCAGAGGCAGGAGGAAGCTGAAAGATAGAAAAAGGCTGACTGAGGGGAGAAGGTTCAGAGGAGGGAGGGAGAGGAGAGACAGGACAAAGTTGCTGATGATTTTTTCTGATTTTATCATTAAAAAAGAACATGAGAGAATTACATGTGTCATCTGAGTAGAAGTGAGTGAGAAGAGAGTCAGGGGGATGAAAAGTATTGTTTAACAATACAAAGAGGATCTTGGTGTTACATTTATTGGAGGAAATGAGGCCAGAGTAGAAAGCATATTTAGTTTGTGAGATTAAGATCTTGTAATGTGATGTCTGAGAGATGTGCACGTCCTTATGGATGGTGAGACCAGATATTTTATAGAGTCCTTCCAGTTGATGACGTCTGGCTTTGATGGACCGGAGCTCAGGAATAAACCTATAGCATTAGAAACTTCTTCTTTTTTTTGTGCAAGACTATTTGTTTTCAGTGACAAAATGTATTTTCTACTTTGTAGATCATTATAAGTTCTGTAAGTACATTTTAAATTCTACTGTATGCAACAAAACTGAATTGATCTTTTATTCACAACACTTATCTATGAATCTAGTTTCAGCTCCAGTGTTTATCTGGATTTTGATTGTTTATTATGTTTAACTTGCTTTATGGCTTCAACTTTGCCCTTTGCTTGGTCTCAGTCCCCTCATGTTGTTGAAACTTGAGGCTATTTATAATGTGTGGACGGCAGGAGCCAGCCTAACTGTACAGGCCACGTCAGAGCTTTAGTCTGTCAAACAGTTTACAAAGATTTGCTCATCATCACGTATTTTATTTCTCAGCTTTGTAGGCATGTTGGAAGTCCTACATATGATACAGAAAGGTCTTGAAAAAGATTACATTTATGGGACATGACTTAAACCTTTCTTTAAATAAAAATGAAAACTGTTGTATGTCACAGGCAGTGAGGCTGTTCACACTTTGACCTCGGGACTAAAACACTTGTGATTTAGTGAGTCCAAATCTAGCACACAAAGAGGCTTATGTCACAGGACTGGCCTGAACATTTGGACACATCAGCACATTTTATATACACTGACATAGAAACATCACGCTGCACTTGAACACTTTCAATAAAAATAGACTAACACAGCAAAGACATCTGAACTTTTACTAAGTAATATAATCAAACTACAACCATGTTGTTATTGTGTGAATTAAGACTTTTTGAAAGATGTTCCTTCTTTAAATTGTCATTTCCAGAAAATATCACTATGTCCATTTTAACCAATAATTATGTAATAATTAAACAATATATTTAAAGGTTCATTGGACTGACACAGCTCAGCTCTCTCTTCACCACGACAGACCGGTACAACGCCCATTGCACCGCAGAAACTGCACCTATCTGCTTATCGATCTCACGCTCCATTTTTCCCTCATTCGTGAACAGGACCCGAAGATACTTGAACTCCTCCACTTGGGGCAGGACCTCCTCCCTGACCCGGAGGGGACACTCTACCCTTTTCCGGCTCAAGACCATGGCCTCGGATTTGGATGAACTGATCTTCATCCCGGCCGCGTCGCACTTGGATGCGAACTGCTCCAGTGAAAGCTGTAGATCACGATCTGATGAAGCCAATAAGACCACATCATCTGCAAAAAGCAGAGATGCAATCCTAAGGCCACCAAAACGGATCCCCTCAACACCTTGGCTGCACCTAGAAATTCTGTGTATAAAAGTTATGAACAGAATTGGTGACAAAGGGCAACCTTGGCAGAGTCCAACTCTCACGGGGAACAAGCCCGACTTACTGCCGGCGATGCGGACCAGGCTCTGACACCGGTCATACAGGGACCTAACAGCCCGTATCAACTCACGTATTGCTGAGGGTGTAGAGCTGGTCCAGTGTTCCACGACCAGGACGAAAACCGCACTGCTCCTCCTGAATCCAAGGTTCGACTATCCGACGGACCCTCCTCTCCAGAAAGCTCTGGCGAAGCTCTCAATTTACCGATCGATCTACGTTCCTACCCTCATCTATGGTCATGATCTTTGGGTTGTGACTGAAAGAACGAGATCTCGGATACAAGCGGCCAAAATGAGTTTTCTCTTCAGGGTGTCTGGGCTCTCCCTTAGAGACAGGGTGAGAAGCTCGATCATCCGGGAGGGACTCAGAGTAGAGCCACTGCTTCTCCACGTCGAGAGGAGCCAGTTGAGGTGGCTCAGGCATCTGGTTAGGATGCTTCCTGGACGCCTCCCTGGTGAGGTGTTCCAGACACGTCCCACCAGGAGGAGACCCAGAGGAAGACCCAGGACACGCTGGAGGGACTATGTTTCTCGGTTGGCCTGGGAACTCCTCGGGATTCCCCCGGAGGAGCTGGACCAAGTGGCTGGAGAGAGGGAAGTCTGGGCCTCCCTACTTAGGTTGCTACCCCCACGACTTGACCCCGGATAAGCGGAAGAAAATGGATGGATGGATGGACTGACACAGAAGACCACAGATTAAATAAAACCAGATAACAAAAAAACAACACATTGGTTTTTGGAAATATTGTCAGCTGGTGCTGCTGTTATCCACAAATGGATAATGTCAAAGAAAACTCAGTGATTTCTTATTTGTCCAAAAAATGTTTGGTCAGATCATCTGGACGTGTTTTTTTGTTGTTGTTGAGACGTTTCGTCCTTTATCCAAAGGACTTCATCAGTCTGAGGAGCCACAAAAAACAGAGTCCCACAAGCAGCACAGTCACATAGTGGACCAACCAGTTTGCTGGAGATAAGATGGGCCTGACGAATGAAATGTCTCAACAAAAAAAAGATATCGTCCAGATGACCTGCCTGAACTTTGTTTTTCTTTTTAACCCGGATTACTGGACATGAACTTTGAATTTTTACTCATGTTTTTCTTGTCTTTTGAAGAGAAAGTTGACAAATCTAGGCATCATCGCCACCTGACGGGCCGTACAGTGAAACTGTCAACTGCACAGTTGAACTTTGTGTTGCTGCCAACCAAAACACACATCATCATGTTCCCTGTTGCTTCTTAACATCATACACATTCCTGCAGCCGCTTGTTTTGTCCATGAGCCACACTGGTTTACGTCTTACCTGATCCATCAGGGATGGACCTGACGAAGGTGGGCAGCATCTTGACAGCAGCTGTGGGGTTTGTGTCACGGCCGAGTCCATTCTCCATTTCCCTGCGGAAGCGGTTCTTGATGTCCTTCAGTGTGTCATCAGAGAAACGCATGGAGTACAGGTACTTATCAATCTGGAGAACAGACGTACACGAAAAGTAATGTGAAGAGCATGAAGATCATACCAGACTAACAAGAGAAAACATTCTTATTTACAGACTTTTACCTTTGAAGAGCAAACTCATCTTATACATACCTACTAAACAGTTTCAGTATTTTCCATCAGCTTCAAGTATCTTAAAACGTGAGTGAACCGTCTCCATTCTTTAATTTATTTAGTTTGGTATGGACATGCTGATAAGGCTGCCTTTAATTAAAGCAAACAGCTGACGGCTTGTTCCTCTAAAAAAGAAAAAGTGGCTGAACCAGGACACAGGATTGTCTTCAACCACAACCATTGTTTCTGAGTGGTCGTATACAAAATGTAAAACAATTAACCAATTCAATTTCATAAGACACATTTCTGTTTTTAACTGTGTCACAGATAAAATGTATTGTTAGCAGAAGTCTTACAGAGGAGATCTGCTTTTCACATTTATGGAGTTGTCAGTGCAGAGCAGTGAGCTGACTGGTTTGATTCTCCACAGACAGAAGAAGCAGGTGCTTCTTCTACTCCAACACACTTTTACTTCAGAAGTGATGGGTCCAACATTGTTTTACACAAAACATCACCTTCTCTTTAAGGCTGTGTACCAAATCAGTTTTACTTATTGTCCACTGCCAAAAGGTGAAAGCCAAGCAAGGTGTTTTCCCCCTTGTCTGAGCTTGTGCATGAGTGTCACTGTCTGTCAGTAAAATATCTTGTGAATTCTTGAACAAATATGCATGAAACCTTGTAGAAATAATCATTGCATGTCCATCTACAAGTGCTTTAACTTTGAAGCTAACCTAATGTGAAAAGGCTGCCACAGTCATCTCACCTCAGAAATCACACAACTGTCTAATTTAAACGTTTTAGAAAATGTTCTGTATTTTACCATAACTGAGTCATTTACAACACACACTACAAATGTAAGTCGTTGTGAGACATCTTTGCTTCAAATATTGCCAACATTTTTTTTAAAAACCCTGTGGGTCTTAGGAAAATCTTTTATTAACCACTGGGCAGATTTAGAGTAATCACTGAATGTACATCTGAAATGGATTAACTTTTGGGGTCAACCCAAGTCAAGAAGGCCCCACAGCTAATTGACTTTAGACGACTAGAGCTAAACAGTAGCAGCTGAAAGTCAGTCACAGCATAGATTTTGAGCATGACATCTTGTGATATTGCACATATTTGAAACATAAAGTTTGAACAAAATGGTTACAACTTCATCAATTCTTAACAACAGATTATTTTAGTCTAAAATTCTTGCATGAAAGGTGGTGGGTGATGTGCGTTCCTTCAAGGAACACTAGGGCTTTAATTTTCATCAGTATGACCCCCGCTGACCACCAGTGCCAGCTCCCTGCTGTATGGAACCAGCAGGAAAACATGGAAGTATTCAGTTGTACTACACTGACATACTATTTCAGTTATGGTAGATTTTTAATAGCACACCACTGAAAATGTATAAGCATGAAATGATCCTGATTTTGAAGGAAACTGTGTAAAGCAGTGGCCCCAACCCTGGGCCTCGAGGAGCACTATCCTTTCCTTTGTTTCCCTGCATTAAGATTAGATAGAAGCTTTTTGACACACCTGCTTTCAATGAACAGGCTTCTCCAGAACTTGAGGAAGTAATTCAATCACAGTTAGGTGTGTTGAAGCAGAGAAATACCTAAAACATGCAGGACGGTGTTCCTTGAGGGCCAGGGCACCACTGATTGTGTGATACCTTCACTCTGAAAGATTTTCTTATATAATTTCCACACCTCTAAAATAAAGCATTTCCAATAATAAACTGTTTATTATTTTCTATACAGAACATCAGACATTGGGGGTAAACGCCTTTAAATAAGCCATTATTTATTGAGTTCCCAAGAAGAAGATGTTTTGGCTGATGCAACATTTTATGGTGTTGTAGTTGAGACTTAAATCCAGGATTGTTGTGGTTGCAGAACTGACACACTTTCAGTGCACCTTTTGACCCTTACCGTTGCATTAACCTGTTTCAGTAGAGGGACGTGGCCACACTGCATTGTGACATCACAAAAGGTTTTACCCCACACCAGTTTCTACTGACCCCACCCACCCCACCACTCTGTGGACTGAACATGTGATCATTTCTGAAGGCTGTAATGCTTCAGTTGGTTCCTCTGCTACAATTTTAGAGATAATAAAAATGCCATCAACAGAAACAGGAAACACCCGATGTAAAATTGAGAGGATTTGGGAAACAGCAAGGAATGGATAACTTTTCACAAGTACCTCTGGGATGTCTGTGTAATTTGACGCCATAGCAACAAATGCACCAGAAACCCTGATGGTGGCGATGTGCCGCTGTTTGCATCACCACCATCCCAGACCACAGCCGGGCTCAAGGACATCAGTGTCAAATACTGGTAACCCTTCAGAAAACTGCACCAGTATCAAATCCAGATTAGCTCTCATCATGTCCTACTCCTCGTGTTGCTCTGAAAATCTCCATGCTTGTCTTCCAGCCAAGATACAGCTTGAGATGGCTCAATGCCGATGTGCTGTTGAGTGTTACCCGGTGTTAGTGGCTGTCTCTGGGCTGCTGTCTCATCCCAGACGTCTGCAGTTCAGCTGTTAGTTCAATGCTGCTCACACTCACCTTCTTCAGCTGATCATCCTTCAGCTCAGTGAAGTAGTAGGCCAGAAGCTGAGCCGCTATCATCTTGCCTGCACGTCCGCCAGAAGCTGTCAGCTATGAAAAGGTTGAGTAGAGGAGGAAAAGAAAACCTGTCGTCTGTTTACTCCTGTTTCTCCACACTCATCCCCTTTCTCCTGCAGTGAGTACAGAAGCAGGCCTAACCTGTGCAACTGGACAAGGTTCAAGGAACAAAGGTCTGGTAAAACAAGAGTACAGCAGCACCCTGCCTGCTGGTCTGCCTCCCTCTGAGGTGCTAACTCCCTGTTAGCACCAGGGAGATGTTACTGCTCTGCACTGGAATGGTGGTTCCTCTAGCCCTGCCCCCACTGATCCTTTCCATTGGCTGAGCTGGGGATCGGAAGGAGAGTAAGGAGGGGAGCAGCTGACCAGAGGAGGGGGTAGCGTGACAGTGAAGAGGGGGTGTGACTGAGAGCTGAAGGAGGAAGCTGCATCAGTCTGATAACCTCCCCCAGCCGGCATGTCTCTCATGTTGCCATGGTACCCAGGAGAGGACGTGCAGAGGGGCAGGACCACATGATGATGTCATAAATCCTCCTCACTCAGCATCAGCTGCAGGCTAAACAGCATCACATACAAAGTGTAACGTTAAAGCACCGCCTCACTCCTGTGCACAAGCATTCTCTCAGAAATAGACTGTTGGTTTCTTATCTCTGCAACACACACTCCACCCATGACTACAACACACACTCCACCCATGACCACGAGAGCCTCACACATTGCTGTCGTGATAGCACAACTCCAAAGGCAGACTCTACTGAAAGCAGGGTCGCACTGACTTTTCATATATATAAGAATAAAAGCTAAATTATTGTTGTAGCTCTAACCTCAAGCCCCATCTAGGTCTAAAATGTGCACTAAACATTCTAATCCTGTACTTCTTCCAGTGGCCTTCCAGAATAATTTCACAGCAATACAGTTTTATGAGTTTTATGTTCAACGTGTGGTTTGATGTTCTTGATTTGAGTCGTGGTGCAGCAAATCTCAGCATTACTATACATAGTCACTGACAGCCCCCACTCTCCTGTCTGCAGCTCCGTTACGTCACCTGGCCGTGCGTGAAAGGAACCACGTCTGCTGACTCAGTGACGTGCTAAGCCTCTGACGGTCCACTTTTCTCCCCCTGGATTTGTCGTGATTTAAAGCTGTTCTCACTGATGATCCTCTACTTTGCAATCTTGTCGTCCATCCCTCAATCCCCCTCTCATCGTGACCCATCTTTAGACTGAAACCACACGTGCACAAGGGACGAGCATGTGCTGCCTGCACATCTTGCTCTGCTCTCGACACAAAGAGAAGCTCAGCAGGACGTGTACGGAGAGGGAGGGCTGAAAATTCATTCACTCTTCTTGGGCACAGAAGACACACTTCCTGGTGTCATGGCTGTTTCAGGGTGACCTTATCTGATCTCCACTCATTATTTCTGCTTACAAAGTAACTACTGGCATATTCAACTGAAACACGGCCTGTATTTCTTTATGGTGATTCAATCAAACACACCAGGACGAATTCAAAGGTAAAGCATTTAGCTGGTTGTTGGTTAAACTGTATGGACTTGTAAAATATACTATAAAGTATTTCAAGAATCTTGGAATAAATTTAAAATACTTAAACAAGAAAGGATTAGTTGTTTGATTAAACTTCTTGGGGGGGTGTCACACCAGATACTTAAAGCAAAGGTTCACATAACAAAGTCCATTCTCAAAGGTTCACATACTTTTACCACTAATGTGTAACATTGGATCATTATCCTCAATAAATAAAAGACCAAGTTTAATGTTTTGTCTCATTTGTTTAACTGGATTCTCTTCATCTACTTTTAGGAGTTGTGTGAAAATCCGATGATGTTTTGTGTCATATTGATGCCGAAATATAAAAAATGATAACTGCTTCACAAACTTTCATGTAGCACTGTACACATCTGACATAATAAGTCTATGTAGGAGGAGTTCCTGCATTTTATTTGTATGTACATGTACAGTACATATATACATACACCTGTATATGAAGCAGATGGGACAGCTGGTTATTTGGGCGTTGAATGGTGGGAGGAACCCCCGCTCTTTATTACAATGGTTTAGCCCTGGATCTGAAATGGCTAATGAGAAGAGACGCAAATCCAACCAGTAGGAAGTGAAGGTTGTTCAAAAGAGACATAAACAGGCAAATGTGCACCTTACAATAAACGTAAAATAGGCCTACATGTTGAGGCATTGTTGACATTTAGTTTACGAGTTAATTACGTGTGAACTCTACGTATATTTGATGCGTAAACATCACTTAACAGTATGTGTTGTTGACACGTCAAAGTCACGTGAAATATTCACGAGTATTTAGCCCGGACGCGTTTCCATATCTGCACAGCTGTTAGCATCTGTCAGTAAGGGCACTATTCATCTATTGTGCAAAATTTAATTTTAATTCATTTATCTAGAAGTATTTAAAACTTTGTCTTCATTATTCTGGAGTAAATTGTGTACGTGTATGACTTAAAATCAAATTGAAAGTGTGTAAATATCAGACAACAGAACAAATCTCCAACAGACATAAAACTTTTGCCATCCACTTTATTTGGAGTCAGACTCTTGTACAACAGGAAGAAATAAAAGTATGAAGTAACATCATAGAACAAGCAAGACATTCCTGAATTACTTGATCAGTTTGGGCTCATAGGTTGCAAATCTTATTGTTTGCAAGAGGCATTGCTAACTTTCTGCTGCTCTTCACATCATCATGCTCCAATAATCACTTTATGCTCTCTATAAACTGGGATTGTGGCCAGAGACAGGAATGAGACTGGAATTATACAAACCAGCTAAAGTTTAACTCCCACCCACAGACTCTTGGTCTTTTGTCAAAGTCAAAAGTCAAAGTTTCTTTATTGTCATTCCACCACATGTGGTACATGTGGTGGAATGAAAGTGTGTACACAGGGTCCTAGTTACATCTAACAAAAGTATAAACTGTAAAGAAAACAGTGATAACATCTAAGATATGAACTAAGAAAACACTAAACTAAGAATACTCTTAAGTACTGGTAGTACAAAAACAATACGCCGAACAACAGCAGCACGAACATGAGTCTGTGTGAGCGGATGAGTATGAATGAAGACAGCAGCATGAAATAAATCAGCAGCATAAGATCAGCAGCATGGATAGTCAGCAGCACAGATCAACAATCAAGTAGCATTACAGTGATTTTTTCACAGTGATTATTCTGGTTAGAGATTCATGAGTCTAACAGCCTCAGGGTAGAAGCTGTTCCTCAGTCTAGTGGTTCTACACTTAATGCTGCTCAACCTCCTTCCTGAGGGGAGTGGAGCAAAAAGTGTATGTGCTGGGTGAGTGTGGTCCTTCATGATGCAGGTGGTCTTCTTCCTGCATCTGGAGGTGTAGATGTCTGTGATGGTGGGGAGACTGACTCCAACATCTTCTGTGCAGCCTTCACCACTCTCTGCAAAGCTTTTCTTTCTGCAGCTGTGCAGCCTCCATGCCACACATTGATGCTCGAGCACAGGATGCTCTCCACTGCACACCTGTAGAAGGAGGTGAGGACTGAGCTTCCAGACCAGCTCGTCTCAGCCGCCTGAGGAAGTAGAGTCTCTGATGAGCTTTCTTCATCAGGCTGGTGGTGTTGTTGCTCCAGCTGAGGTTGGGTTATAAATAAACTAAATTGAATTGAATTAAATGATGTTTCTAATGAAGCTTGAGGACAATAACGTGTGGAGTTTTAAAAACATTTAAACTTTAATGCATCTTAACTAGGGATGGAGCCGATCCCGTATCAGTATCGGCCTCCGATACCAGCATAATTTACGTATCAGATTTTTCCGATCCATGATGCAAGTTGGCTTCAAATTATGGAATGGATTTCCTGAACGGAGGTGTGTCTCATGAACCCAGAGTAATAAGACCCGTCTCACATTCAGGAAATCCAGTTCATAGTTTGAGGCAGCTACAACGTGAGGACTGAGTTAGCAGCACTGTGGCTAACAGCTAACAAACTTTTCATCTAAACATGTCCGCTGTGTGGAATATGGTGACCAGATTTCTGAAGGTAAATCTGGGGACATTTCCAGCTCGGAGACCAAAAACAATGACATTTTATCAAGATGAAATTAAAAACGGGGACAGTTAGTTTCATTTATTTTTACACATTCATTCATGTTTAAACAATAAAATGTAACAGCAGGAATGTGTCTCTCGCACTGTTAACATTCCATAAGAGTAATAAAATAAATAAAGTAATAGTAGTAGTAACAGAGTACTAAAACTGGGGGGGGGGGGGGGTGTCAAGGGTATATAGTAAGTGACCGTGCATACCTTGTGAGAGAATGAGAACATGTACTTACAAACAGTAGGTGTGTATAAGTACACAGTGTATGGTTACGTAGCTGATGTGTATTTATATTGTGTGCACGTGTGAGGTGAGTGAAGGTCAGGTAGTCACTGACATGAGCTCATCTCTGGTTCTGCGAGGCCTCCTCTGTCTGACGAGATGGTGGCCATGGAGGTCTGCAATAGAAGAGCAGAAAAGGTTACACACTAAACTGAAAGAGCACAGATAATAGTAAAGAGAAATACTTAAAACATGAGAAATAAAGACAGAATTTAGTAATATGATTAGATACTTATCATTTTATTTTTATTTGTTCTTCCACTTATTTCATCATCACTCAAACAACTGCCTCTTCACACAGTTGCAGTTAGAGAAGTACAATGAACCTGATGCTCAGCTCAGAGGAAGAACTTCTGTCCTCTCAACTCGAACCAGCCGTAACATCTCACCAGTATACAGACACTCTGTCATCACTCAATATGTTACCAGTCAAACCACTTCATCGGTTCATCTCTTGAACTTTAATTGTAAATATTTGACATCTTAACTCTTCTTTCTATTAGTCTATTTCCCTCCTCTCTCTTCCACTTCTCTGAAACACATAATATCATCACAACCCCCTCCAAAAATATTAGAACATATATAACATACTGTAAATTTACTATTTAACAAAGAAAACAAGATTTTTGTTTCAGATACCCTCTAGAAGTTGATAAGTTTTAGATGAGAAACTGGGGTTATCCTAGTATAATCTTCTTATAAATATTAAACATTATTTTAAATTATTTAGAGCTCATCATAGCACAGAAACAGCACTGGTGAAAGTGACTAATGATATTCTCATGACCTCTGACAATGGACAGGTGTCTACACTGGTCCTGTTAGACCTCAGCGCTGCATTTCACACAGTT